TTATATTAATTTTGTGATGTTTACCTGAATGAACAACTTAAGCAAATAAAATCTTAATCATAAATCAATTTATTCTTAACAATATTAACAAACGTCATTTTCGGCATTTGTTTTTAATTCGTAACCGCCCAAATTTATTTAAATTTGATAAATTTTATTATTCTGTATCTTAAATGTGATTTGTAATATAAGTTGGAATAATTAATGTATTTGTTCTTATTTGATTTCGTTAAACATATTTATTCTTTTGACCTGTCAAAATTTTGTTTATGATGAATTTATTCATCTATTACATTCAATAGATTCTGATAAATAACATTTCACTTTTTTTAGTTTACAACTATCAAAATTTATTTAAATCTATAAACATTATATATTTCTATTATTTTGAATATAGCATTTTGCCTAATTTGGATATAAATGTTGGATATATTATAATATATCTGTTCCTTTTTCAATAAGTAAAAATAATATATTTTTAAAATTGTCAATTTTTTTCAGAAATCATAAATCGCTTTTTCTCGAAGTTTCCGTAAATATTGACATTTGTCATTTTAGTGTTTTGTTTTTTTTAGTAAATTTCTGTCAAAATTTATGGAAATTTATAAAAATATAAAACTAAATAAATATTTCCTTCTTGGTCGAAATTTAATATAATGTGATATAATATTTTTCAATAATGTTTTGTATCTACAATATTGACTATAACAAAACTTTGAATAATTAGTGAATTTGTTTCGTATTGAAGTCGTCAAAAATTCAATTTTTTTGAACTGTCAAAATTTTGTTTATAATTAATATTAAATTTAATATGTCGTTTTTTATATTGTGATCTATGGTGTTTTGAGGAAGTTTTGGTATCCGAACTAATTTCGTAAGCAAATCAAATAAATATAAATTATAAATCTATTTATCTAATAATTTTTATAAATATTGTCAAATGTCAATTCACGTTTTTTTAATGTCAACTTTCATTTAAATTTATAAACATTGATTTTTAATTAGATTTAAAACTATATACAGTGATTCTGAATATAGCATTTCATCTAAATGTTGGATATATCTATATATGTATATGTTTTTGAATTATATTTTTTGAACTGTCAATTTTTTTTTCTAATCCTCGAATTTTCCATAAATTTTGACATTTGTCATTTTAGTGTTTTATTTTTTTTTTGGTCATTTTCTGTCAATTTTTTTTGAAATTTATAAAAATTATGTATTTATATTTTAAATTTACTTTTCAAAATTTCCTATAACCTAAGTTGGATATATACGTTTTTTCAAAAAAATATTTATTTATTCGTCTACATTAATGTGGTCCCCTTCAAAGTAGTCCCCCCCAGATATAATACACTTATGCCAGCGTTTTTTCCAATTTTCGAAGCACCCTTGATATTCACTTTTTGATATGTCCTTGAGCACTCTCAGCGATTTTCTTCAATCGAGGAAAACCGCCGTCCTTTCATGGGTCTCTTCAACTTTGGGAATAGGAAAAAGTCACACGGAGCCATATCTGGTGAATTTTTGCACTTTGCAACACTTTTTCATTTTTTACGCAAAATTTAATACAAATTCTTTGACTTTTCAATTCTTCCATTGTAAAAATCGCCGAGCTCAGAAAAACACGTCGAACCTTAGCGACTACCACAGACAAAGTAAACAGAGAATATAGCTGAAAATTTCATCATACTTTAGGGGCATGTATACCAACACAATAAAAAAAAAATTTTGACAATCAGACACTCCAGACCCGCGAAATTTAATTATTAGTAATTCCGGGTACTTTTTGAACACACCTCGTATGCACACTATGAGCCAATAAAATTGAAAATCGGTCCAGTAGTTTGGGCGTCCATCGCGAACCAACATCGTGACACGAGATTTATATATATATAGATAGATATATATATTGAAGAGACGTTAGTAATGAATTTACTAATTAATGATTAAATGTAACCAATTTTTAATAACTTCTTGAGTAGATTAGAGTTTTATTTGAAATACTTAACGACGAGAATTGGAACATTTGTAGCTCTTCTGGAAGTGTGTGAAATCAAAGAATTTATTTAGATACAAAAATTTATTTAGCGCTTTATTATAATATTTTAGTTGTTACTTGTTCAAGAGTTCAGGACTAACTAACTTATATTTTTACATTTTTAAAATATTTCCAATATTTCTAGTTTTATGATAGCTCGCCGAAGGTACATGAGCTATCATAAACTTTTATTAAGGGTTGTCTGGCAGATGTACAAAATATTCGCAACATTTACCGGTACTCGGGATTATACATCGTCCAAATGAATTTACTTATGACTATTATTTAAAACTAGTTGGTTTGGTATTTAGCCTTGAGGCAAGTTACATGAACTTCCCGATATGTGTAATTAATCGACTTAATCAATAAAAAATAATTTAATTGATGAGTGATTAGAAGTATTCCGAGTGGATTTATTACACATGATTGAAAACAAACGAACACTTTGACTCGGAGTATTTTCTAATAGCAAATTTTCAAAAATCACCAGTTTTTATAATTGAACCAGTTTCCATAGGACTTTAATGGTTTACTATGTTCATTAAAACCAAGTACTCTATCGTTATACCAAGTAAATCGTCTAATTTTAATTTTAACAAACGTCAAAAAAACTACTCATTTTCTTAATCTTCGATTAATTTTTAAAATTAAACTACTTGTCGTAAAGCCGTGATATTTCAGTAAGTTCTATAAGACCATGATATATATCGCCAAAAAAAGTTCCATAAAAATCGGCTTATTTTTTTTTCAACAGTTAATTACAAGAAAACTGCTTGGTAGATTTTCACCTAAAACTAATCAGTATCATTCCCAACTAATATCTTTCGAACAGTGTTTGATTTTTTAAAATCGATTTGGCAGTATGAGCTTAAATCAACACAACACAACTCGCGGCAACTGGGCACCGTGCTTCCGAAAATATCACTCAGACGTCAGTCGGCAATGAGTGCGGTTGTTACTGATCAATCCCATGTAGAAATTAATATCGGTACAATATATTACCAATATCGGTTTTCTGTGGCCGTGATTACCTATATTGCAAAAATATCGGCGAACGTCGGTTCTGTGATGATGTCAACTAATCGATCAGGCCAACGTCAGCCGATATTGAGGCAATAATCTCTATAAATAGCCTTGTCCAATATTGGTCTCAAACTAAAATAGAAATATTGATGCAATATTTTTTATCATCGGCTAATAAATATTGTCCTCAAACTAAAATAGAAATATTGATGCAATATTTTTTATCATCGGCTAATAAATATTGTCCTCAAATAGAAGAATAAATATTGATGCAATATTTTTTTATCATCGACTGATAAATATTGTCCTCAAACTAAAATAGAAATATTGATGCAATATTTTTTTATCATAGGCTGATAAATATTGTCCTCAAACTAAAATAGAAATATTGATGCAATATTTTTTATCATCGGCTAATAAATATTGTCCTCAAACTAAAATATAAATATTGATGCAATATTTCTTATCATCGGCTGATAAATATTGTTCTCAAACTAAAATATAAATATTGATGCAATATTTTTTTATTATCGGCTAATAAATATTGTCCTTCTCTAGAAAAATAAATATGATGTAATATTTTTTATCATCAATATTGTAAGTAAATATTGTACTCAAATTTAAAATATTGATGCAACATTTTTTATAATTCACTATTAAATATTGTTATTATTATTTAATTAACTTCTCGAAAAAGAAGTTTGTTTTGTGAAAAAATCTGATTTGCTAATTAAATATTTTGTCGAAGTGGAATGAGATCAAAGATCTATATATTCACATATATCCTATGCTACAATCTAAACGGTAAAGGATACTTAAAAGGTTTATTCAGCCGAAAAATGCAGAATAAAATTACGAATAAAATGATATATAATTCGACATGTGTATTCATATATTTTTCTTGAAATTTTCCAATTTTTTTAAAATTTTGGCACTGCAACTCGCCTATAGGCCAAACCGTTTAAAATACCAAGTTCTGATATGTGGAAGAAAAACTAAGAATTTTGAGACGATTCTAACGATGTATAATACTTTATACGGTTTCTTTATGAAAATCTCAAATGTTGAGAATAGTATAAAAATTCAGTTTTCCTTTCATTATAAAAAAGTTATAAATGTTACAGGGTAATTTGTTTTAAATACTGTCCGATATATATAAAACTAATTGGAAACTTTAATTTTATTTACTCATGCAATTATAAAATAAAAAAATAATAATAAAGGGACTGGGATTTGAACCCCAAAATCAAAATTAAAACGCTGTGATGTTAACCATTACACCACCAAGATATATAATGGTATTGTAGCAACTCACTATCTTGTATTGCAGGTATAGGATTCTAGAACTTTCTAGACTGCTATGCATGAGCATGACTCATGATGCCACAAGCCCACAAGTAACGCCGTGCGTGTCAAAATCACGGCGTCCTTAATGCAAAATTCTTAATTATAGTATGTTTTAAGATACTAGTTTTGCTGGAAATAATCAAATAATATTTTCAATTATGTGTAATGTGTAATAGTGTTATAGTGTTCATTGTTTTCTAATGTGTGTAATGTGCATTGGCGCGAAATATATACCACAAACAAGTTTAGTTAACAATTGTTTAGTAAGCATTGTCTCTGAAAAATATACAATATTTCATTTCTTTGTTGTTACTTTGGATTAAAATACAAAGGTTTGAAAGTTCAACTTAATTTTACGTCATCTGATTTGATTTGGGATGGATAGATTAAGTAATAAGTTATGTATATCTAACATAACCTTAGTTTTAATAGACGAATTCTTTTTACTATTGGTGAGTATAATACTTAATTATGCGTTTATGCATTGTAACTAATAGCTATTTATTTTTAGAATAATTACTGCTAACTACATTATTATTAGTATCTCTAATAAATAATCGGAAACTAGCTATTCGAAATGTCAAAATTTGCAAGTTTTCAATAAAAATGGTAAGAAATGCAAGATAATTTTATTTTTCTCACAAAGGATTTTTATATTGATCAGGAGTTTAAACACATTGAGAAATCAGTTGTACATATTACGTGAAATATAATAAAATATAACATAATAAAATATAACATAACCTAATCTTTTTGAGTGAAGACATATCTGAACTTTCATATTTATAAAAGGTAAGACAATACTTGTTATAATATAATTATATGTCTCTGCATTTAAAACATATTCTTATTTATTTTCAGGTAATATTGTTGTAAGCGCAGAAAATAGAGAAACTGGTTTGCTTAGTAGTAAAATGTTATCGAAAAGTTTTTCATCAAAAGTTTGTAACTAAATAAGTTGTAGAAAGGAAAGATATAAATTTTGACAGAATAGTCATAATGTTTGATTATGATAAATGCAATGTGATGAATGAAGTCATTATTTTTTAAGGTAAAAGTAGAGTCAAGTACATTTTACAATCTCATTTTAACGTTTTCATAAATTATTCATATTGATAATATATAATGATATATTATAAATTTATTAACAAGGAATACGAGGTTTCAGATGACAATACAAACTTGGACAAAAATATTTTGGGGTTATGATTGAAAAAGTTTCCCAGTCACTGTTCTAGACGATAAGATAATCATATCTAAATCATTTCTAAAGGAAAGAGTTAAGTCAATCCTATTTTACAATCTCATTTCAATGCTTTCATAAATATTTCATATTGAATAATAGATATAATAAACAAGGAATACAAGTTTTAAATGACAATGCAAACTTGGTCAAAAATATTTTGGGGTTATGATTGAAAAAATTTCCCAATCACTGTTCTAGACGATAAAATAAATTTCATAACCTCATTTCAATGCTTTCATAAATATTTCATATTGAATAATAGATATAATAAACAAGGAATACAAGTTTTAAATGACAATGCAAACTTGGTCAAAATATTTTGGGGTTATGATTGAAAAAATTTCCCAATCACTGTTCTAGACGATAAAATAAATTTCATAACCTCATTTCAATGCTTTCATAAATATTTCATAATGAATAATATTTATATTAACAATGAATACAATATGTTCAGATGATGTACAGTGTTTTATCGAATGACGATGTTATAAATAGTTAAATTAATTTAATTTTGTTGCTGTTATTCGATTTAAATTGAGTATATATGTATGTCTATCTGTATGTAAGTAGATGTGTATGTATGTGTATACGTATGTATATATATGTGTATATATCTGTGTGTATATGTATATAGATATAAATATACAAGTTATGAATTAGCAAACAATATTATAAAACTGTATAAAGCCGATTGGCGTATAAATAAATAAATAAATAAATAATTTACTTGATATATATCAAATGTAATGTAGGTTTCCCAATGACTGTTCTAGATGATGAAATAAATATTTCATAATGGATAATAAATATATTAACAACGAATAAAATATGTTCAGGTGCTGTACAATATTTTATCGAGTGACGATGTTGTAAATAGGAAAGTTAATTTGCCTTTGTTATTGTTATAAAAAAAAAAATACTTGATATGTATTAATAAATATCCATTAAAAAATAATCAATATTCATGACACTTTTGTGTTTTATGAATAATCATATTTTTAATGCAGTTATATATTTGTATCATTGTTTATATTTAATAAATGAATTTCCACAAAAACATTTTTAATAAATTTACGTTAATGTTCATTTCAGGTGTTTTATTGTTAAATAAATGATATTGATTTATGCGTTATATTATTTCAACTTCAAATCTTCAAATATTTGTGTAATATTTCAACATCAGTTATAAGTTTCAGAATAATTTAATAATTCAATAATTAATAATTCAAAATGTTCACCAGCTCTCTGTCTAATTGTATATTACCTTACCAACATTCAACAATTCGTAGGCAACATTGGTTCCAAATTTCCAAATATAGACCAATATAGACCAATTGTTGGTTTACCTATATGGCCTCAATATAAAAAATGTTCAATTTTTATGACCAGCCGATATTGGTTTCAAATTTGACCAATGTAGATTTTATATTGCTTGTAGATTCAGACCATATTAATTTCTACATGGGATGATATTCTTGAAAAAAACCAACATTGAACTGATTTTTGTGTGCCTTTATCATTAATACTTCATGTGTGCTTGCAACTAATTAAATTAATTTTAAGTTATTTTATATATATAATAATATTTATAAAAACAATTTGTTATAAACAACGTGTGTGTCTGTGTTTGGTGCTGTTAAGGATTTTCCATTTGGTGAAAATCACAGAAAAACTCCACCGTCTCGGTGTGGCGTGTTGGGGTGGATTACATATTATTTTTTGTTTCCGTAATTTAATTTAACTACATAAATATGAATGTCAATCTTTTGTGCCCCGAAGCCCCATTTGGCGAACGGGTGGATTGCAATTTTGCTGAAGTTGACGAGAATTTGACAAAAGACGCCAGAGTCATGGATAACATGCTGATGTTGGAAGGGAGCACCATCCCCCGCATGAATTACTTTGCCAATTTCCAGGGGGATCTGCTACCTTTCATGAGGAAAGTTGTCACCACATGGATGTTGGGAGGTGTGTGAAGAGCAACACTGCGAAGAACAAGTGTTTCCTCTAGCTGTTAATTTCATGGATCGTTTTTTTGTGCGTATGCGACATTCCTCGTCAACAACTTCAACTTGTGGGTGCAACAGCTTTACTGGTTTCCACCAAGATTCGTCAATGCCACAATTTGACCATCCATCTGCTTTGCGCTTATACTGATCATAGTGTCGCCCCTGAAGAAATTAGGACCATGGAAGTGTTAATTCTAACCAAGCTGAACTGGAACTCGAATACGATTACTGGCTTCGACTTTGTTGATCACCTAATCGAGCGAATGCCATGGGGACATGAAAGCCGCCTTACCAAACGTCAGCTCACACCTTGGTGTCTGTCTGCTGTACTGAACCTGAATTTATGCAGACCGCTCCTTCGCTCCTTGCCACACCGCTTGCGTTTGCGCCGCCGTTCGAGGCCTGAACCTTCCATCATCGCAATGCGCCCTTGCGGATCTTTGCGCCGTTTCTCGTGCCGACATAACTCTCGCCGAATTAATGGTTTGTCACATCGAGCGAGTTATTGCCAACGAAACTGCGTCATTGCAAACGCCTTCGGGAACTCCACCAGCGTCTAATCCAAACTCTCCATATCAGAGCCCCGAAGCCTCAGTATCTCTAAATATTATATAATGAAAATCATAGTTGATTATCCTTCAATACACTTACGCTTACCTAGATTTGATTACCTAGTACTTGTAAATGAATTTGATTGCATTTGGTTGAGAGTGTGATTGATTAATGAATGTGATGTGCTATTCATGGAAAATCTAGATATTAAAATACAATTATGTTGGAGCATTTAATTAATAATAAGACTTTTGCAGTTTGATTGGGTTTGATTGCGTTTTGTGTAAATGTAAGTTAATTTATGGAATTATATATGAAATTAATATATATTGTTAGGAGTAAAGTTTTGTTCAGGTATTTCTCTTTTATAATTTCTGACTACTTTTTCAAAAAAGTTTGTGTATGAACAACAAATGTAATTTTTAGATATACATATTTTTAACATTTATAATAAAATAGATGAACGACGCTGCTCGGTGTTTGAAAATTATATTTAAACCTTATTATATTATTAAGTTTATATTTAATTTGATCTTCGTTAGTTTTTTTTATAAATTTGCACGTCAGTAGAGTCCCTTTTTTATTTGTTTGCCTCTTTTCAATTTGCTTGTCAGTACAGTCCCTTTTCCTCAACCTAGACACTCGTCAGTGCTGGACTTGATCAATATAGTCCCGTCCCTCTATACCCTGCCCCCACATTCCTCACGATGGATACACAATATGGGCCTATTATTAACAGCGGCAATCTCGATGCGTTCATTTCGATCCACTTGAGACTCGACTCGATAGAGGGAAGCACTTGAAAAACACACGCTAATGATGACTAATGACTATGACTAATGACCGGTGATGAGTCAGACAGTCAGTAGAGTCACCGTGGAGCGATTTAGTTCCTACACTCTGCTAATTAGTCCTAGCAGGGAATAATAGACAAAAAGGACTCTACTGACGAGCAATTGAAACCAAAGATAAAAAGGGACTCTACTGGCAAATAATTTAAAACAAGACCGCACGTTAATTTAAAGAAGAAAAGGACTCTACTGACAAGCAAACTGAAAAAGAGAATAAACATTGACTATAGGAAACTCTAAGGGAAGCAAAGAGACAAAATTGCTAGTTTATGCAAAAGGGACTCTACTAACGAGCAAATGTTGTCATTTTAAATATAGGCATGTGGGGTATCAAATAAAAGGTCTCGACGAGCTAAATTCAAATACCATATGCACACACTTAGTAAACGTACCGGGTTCCGTACAAACACAAATGTCATAATTCAATATCACTGTTGTCATGTCATAATTCACAATCATGTTTTTTTGAACGCAAATTTAAAGCACACCGATTTGCAAAATTTTAATCTTAACTTGAAACTGAAGCTGAACATAGAAAAGGGACTCTACTGACGAGCAAATTGGAAATGAGACAACAAATGAAAAAGGCACTCTACTGATACGCAAATTATAAAAGAGCTAATAAAAAAGGGACTCTACCGACGAGCAAATTGAAAATGAGACAAATAAACGAAAAAGGGTCTCTACTAATGAGCAATTTAAAAATAAGACAAAAAATAAAAAGGGACTCTACTGACGAGCAAATTAAAACAAAAGATAAAAAGGGCCTTACTGGCTAGCAATCTCAAAGGGACTCTACTGACTCTACTGACGATCAAATAAAATAAGAGATGATAAATTTCAATACCCAAAGCGATTTTACTGACAATAAACTTGAATACAGAGAAAAAAATTTGATCGTCCCCTTGAACAACGAAACAACAAAAAAAAGCTATGTTTTATAGTTTTTGGTCAAAATCTGAAAATTGCTCCTGAACAGTCACATTATAAAACACTGCCTCGTGTTAAAGATGTTCATTAGAATGTACTTATCTAGGGCTATTTCACGTTTTTTTTTCCAAAAATTCATATTTTTTATATTTAATCATAATCGTATGTATACGTTTATAAATTTTGACTCGTAACTGCTAAAACTAGTGTTGTACCTCTAATTGTCTTAAGGTGATTGTAGCCAATAAAATTCTGCACAAACTCATATTTGGCCATAGTTCCGTACCTTGAATATTTATGATACAAAAAACGCTGTCGAAAATTAGTAAACATATTAAAGCTACTTGTATACTACATAT